CTGAGTAGCTGGGACTACAGGCATGTGCCACCACGCCCAGCTAATTTTTGTATTTTTTAGTAGACAGGGGGTTTCCCCATGTTGGCCAGGATAGTTTCAATCTCTTGACCTCGTAATCTACCCGCCTTGGCCTCCCAAAGTCTTGGGATTACAGGTGTGAGCCACTGCGCCCGGCCAAAAAAAAAAAAACTTTACCCTGAAACACTTCTGTTGACTTTCACCCTGGCAGTGTAAAATGATAGCTGATTTTAATAGGTGCAGGACAGAAAGTCATTCCTCTGCTCACCCGAAATGCTTGTCTAATTGCTTCCTCAGCCCTATTGTTTATGTAAAAATGCATACTCACTGAGCCAGACTAGATTGTGTATTCGCTGAAAGGCTGATCAAGGACTCAAAGGATTGCAACCTGGCTGGGCACAGTGGCTCATGCCTGTAATCCCAGCACTTTGGGAGGCCAAGGCGGGCAGATCACGAGGTCAGGCATTTGAGACCAGCCTGACCAACATGATGAAACCCCATCTCTACTAAAAATATAAAAATTAGCCAGGCATGGTGGCACGTGCCTGTAATCCCAGCTACTCAGGAGGCTGAGGCAGGAGAATCGCTTGAACCTGGGAGGTGGAGGTTGCAGTGAGCCGAGATGGCTCCACTGCACTCCAGTCTGGGTGACAGAGAGAGATGCCATCTCCAAAAAAAAAAAAAAAAAAAGGAATGCAATCTATTGCCTCTCATCTACCTATCCTGGAGTTGTCCTGCCTTACTGGATGGAACCAAAGTATATCTTACATATATTAATCGATGTCTCATGTCTCCCTAAAATCTATAAAACCAAGCTGTACCTCAACCACCTTGGGCCCATGTCGCCAGGACCTCCTTGGCAAAATAAACTTTTAAATTGGTTGAGACTTGTTTCAGATATTTTGGGTTTACTGCCACCACCAAAGGCTCTTGAGTTCACATCTCCTTTGTTGAAGAGAGTGGGGGGGTGGGAGTGGGGAAGGTATGGAATCAATTACTGCTCAATTCCACATCCCCACGTGAAGGTGTAACCACCTAAAGGGCTCACCTTGCCCACTGCCTAGTTGGAGCTGATTTATCAAAACAGGGGAATTGCAATGAAGAGTAATTCACACAGAGCTGGCCATGCGGGAGACCAGAGTTTAATTATTCCTCAAATCAGTCTCCCTGAGCTGGTTTCTTTTGTTGTTGTTGTGTTTGAGACGGAGTCTCTCTCTGTCACCCAGGCTAAAGTGCAGTGGCACAATCTCAGCTCACTGCAACCTCCGCCTCTGGGATTCAGGTGATTCTCCTCCCTCAGGCTCCCGAGTAGCTGGGATTACAAGCACTCGCTACCATGCCCGGCTAATTTTTTGTATTTCTAGTAGAGACGGGTTTTGCCATGTTGACCATGCTGATCTCGAACTCCTGAACTCATGATCCACCCCCGCTTGCTCTACCAAAGTCCTGGGATTACAGTTGTGAACCACCGCGCCCAGCCTGTGGATGGAAGTTTTTAAAGATAATTTGGCCAGTGGGGGCTTGGGAAGTGGGGAGTGCTGATTGGTCAGGATGGAGATGGAATCATAGCGGGGTTCAAGTGAAGTGTTCTTGCTGTCTTCTGTTACTGAGTGGGATTGCAAAGCTGATTGAGCCAGATGACTGGTCTGGGTGGTGTCAACTGATCCATCCAGTACAGGGTCTGCAAAATATAACAAGCACCGATCTCAGGTTTTACAATAGTGATGTGATCCCCAGGAGCAATTTGGGAAGGCTCAGACTCTTGCAGCCAGAGACTGTGTGACCCTAAACCAAAATTTCTAATCTTGTAGCTAATTTATTAGTCCTACAAAGGCAGACAAGTCTCTTTTCAGGAAAGGGCTATTATCAATTTTGTTTCAGAGTCAAACTATAAGCTAAATTCCTTCCCAAGGTTGGTTTGGCCTGTGCCCAGAAAGGGACAAGGACAGCTTAAATGTTAGAAGCAAGATGGAGTCAGTTAGGTCTGACCTCTTTCACTGTCATAATTTCCCCAGCTATAATTTTTGCAAAGGTGGTTTCAAGGAGACTCCTTAGCCAGCTTCAGTCAGGGCGCTGATTCACTCTGTGCAGCCGAGGCCCAGGAGTGGGGTTAGGTTCCTGTAACGGACTGTGACCAGGGTTGCCATGTTGAGCTGGGGAGGAGGCAGAGGTCTCTAACATGGGGGACCTGTCTTGTGCTGGAGAGATATCGCAGTGAGTAGATACCACCCACCCAGACCCTCCCCAACCTCCTGAAGGGACAGAGGAGCCTTGCAGTTCAGCTGTTTTGAGGCCATCCTCTGAGCAGAAGAGCTGGCATGCTCTTGAGATGTCCCAGCTGGGCATGGGGGCTGAGACCCAAAAGCCTTCCTGCTTGGCCCAACCCTGGATCCATCTGGACCGCCCCCAACCCCACACAGCCTCAGCAGCAAAGCTAGTGCCCACAAATCCCAAAAAGCCTTTGCTGGTTTGCACCTGGTGGGGAATGACACGTTGGGCACCTATTCTGTGCCTCTCAATAACCTTCTGAGGGGGAAAGTTCTCCCCCTTTAAAAATGACACCGAGGGACAGGGAAGTTAAGGTCTGTCCAAGCTCATGCAGTCTGCAGGGGCCAATGCTGGGGGGACAGCTGAGGTCTGCCTAACCCCCAAGGGCCACACACCCACATCACCCCATCCTGGTCTTCATGCAGAGTAGCCAGGGAGGGCTCTGTGAGTCAGGAAGAAATCCTCTTCCACAGACCTGCCTCAGATAGCCGACCCCCAGAGCAGGTGGATGCCGTGTCCTGGGCCAGGAACAGCATTTGTTCCACAATGGAGGAGACCACTCCCTGCGTGGTCCTGGGAGCACTCAGGCCCCTCAAAGGCCCCTCATGCTGCCTGCATCCCCAAATGCTAGAGCAGCTTGGGCCCCAGGTGGGAGCAGCTCCCTGCTAACACTAGTCCTGGGGGCCCAGATCCTGGCCCTCCCCTGGAATAAACAGAGTCCAAGCCTGGGGCAGAGGGGGAAGAGGAAGTCCCACTGCCATGTGGCGGGGACCAGGCACTTCCAACGAGGACCACCTGCTTGCTTCAAGGGATGTGTCACATGACACGATGAAAGTAAAACATCTGGCACGCTGCTGATGCTTGTAGAAAAGCTCTTTACTTCCCTATTTTCTTCTTCAAAAAATGTATATTTTTAATATATATTATTTATTTATTTATTTTTGAGACAGGGTCTGGCTCTGTCGTCCAGGCTGGAGTGCAGTGGCATGATCTCAATTCACTACAAACCTCCACCTCCTAGGTTCAAGCCATCCTCCTGCCTCAGCCTCCCAAGTAGCCGGGATCACAGGCACGCAACACCACGCCGGCTAATTTTTGTATTTTTAGTAGAGGTGGGGTTTTCCTATATTGTCCAGGCTGGTCTTGAACTCCTGGCCTTAAGCAATCTTTCCGCTTCACGGGGGCAATAATGATCATTATCAATGTAGCCAGGACAGGCCCAAGTCCAATTTCCTTTAAGGGTTCCCTTCTGAACATCCTGTTCTCATTTAGACTTGGGAGGCAGGACTCAGCACCTGGCTTTTTTTCCATAGGCGGAGGTGATGGGCTGGTGAGGCTGAAGAGAAAGAGCCTCGGCCAGAACTCCAAACTGCGAAGCTGACCCAGCTCCCGTCCCTCAGCCTTCCCGGCTGAGGTTTACGGCACAAAACCAGCGATTGTGGATTCTGGCATGCATTTGGTGATTTTTTTCCTGCTTCATACCCTAATACACAGGCCATTTTCCGAGGTTGGAAAATGCGTCCTTTCCCTTTCCCTCAGTTTGTGCCTTAGACGGCCACGTCCAAGTTACTTTCTTTTTTTTTTTTTTTTTTTTT